AGCAGCAGTAGTTGCAGCAGCAGCAGCAGCAGCAGCAGCAGCAGCAGCAGCAGCAGCAGCAGTAGTAGTAGTAGTAGTAGCAGCAGTAGTAGTAGCAGTAGTAGTAGCAGTAGTAGAAGTAGTAGCAGCAGTAGTAGTAGCAGTAGTAATAGTCATGGTCGTCGTCGTCGTCGTCGTCGTAATGCTATACTAGTAGTATGAGTAGAATAGAAGGGTTAGTGTTGTTCATGTGTTCAGTGGTACCCGGAAAACAGTAATCACGGCTGCTCCCCCCGCCCCCCCTCCCGGGGTTGTTGGAAGCTTTTGGGCGAGCTCTCTTTGGTTTGATTCGCCAAGGCCAGGTGGCACCATCAAGGCGGATGTTCTTTTGTTTGATGCTGCAGACAATTGGTGGAACAGTGCAATGTGCAAGGCCGTGCCTCCGCCAGCATTTCCTCAGTTAAGGCACAGGGACCATAGAGGGCCGAGAGAAGAAGGTTGAGTCGTGCGAGCGCTTTGCCCGGAAGGCCTCGGCCAAGTGACCCAGGCCAAGCAGAAGCGAGATTCTGCAAAGCGAACTGGGATCGAACAGACCTCCGGAACGACACTTCGAGCTTGCCAGGTGACAGTGTTACGCAAACACAGAGCTTGCCAGGTGCTGGAAGCTACGCCCCGACAGGCAGCTTGACATCCGAAGCCGCCCTCGAGGTGGAATTGAACGGATACTTTTGTCAACAAGCGGTGCTGCTTACAGAACCTTGGCGAAGCAGCGCGGGGATTCGCGAAAAAATCTGAGCACCTTCGCAATTCGCCCTCACCAGACTAGCAAACGAGTGTTCTAAAAGTGCGTGGACCAGCGATGTGGTCAGCATAACTCCACCAGACGCAGCCGGATTTGCCGGACGTCTCGACGAGCACGTGTTCGGCATCCTGACGGATCTCTGATGTCAGACCATCAGATTCTCTGTCGATTGCAAAAGCAGCCGGTATGGGTCTTGTAGCGCTGACAGTGACAGCAAACGCAAGCACTTTTGCTCCAGTGCGTGCCGGTGTGTAGGTCTGAGAGAGAAATCATCTGCTCAAGGCTTGATGTCGAGGAACCGCGAGTAAGTTGCAGCACCAAGCGCTACCTTGTCGGACCGTCACTTTCTCCAGGTGTTTGATCTCGTTGTTCAGCGCGTCAGGACATCCCCGTGCACGTGCACGGACCCGATTCCTGTAAGACTGAAGCGGACCGCCAACCAGGTGCTGGGGACGGAAAACGACAAACCGTAAATGATTGAGCTCATCGCACAATTGCCCCCCCCCCCCCCAACATCGTCGAGAGTGCCATTACCCGGTATGGTCTGTGATGATGCGGTCATGGTCGTGGTGCCGCAAGGTGCCGCAGCAACGGGGAGCGAGTGTGCAGCATCACAAAAGTGCCACCACTGCGACTTCACACCATCATCAATGAAAGAAGGAATCAGTGCAAGAGTTAAGCGTATCACAGCAGACCAGCACAGCATTTTGTGAAGCAGAACCAAGCTTGTCAAAAGCAGGGTTACATTTAGGAGACCTGGCTTTGGGAATGAGCTTGCCAACCAAAAGCAGCGTAGACAGCATACCTTCTGGCCATGCATCCATCCATCCATCATCCCTGCAGCCATCCATGTCATGCTTCTCAAATCACTTCTATAAACACCTCTATTGACGATTATGCATCGGNNCATCGGGACGCAGTCCCAAAGGCCATCTCGTCATCTTTGCCTAGGAGGGGTGATGCACTCAAGTGGCAGCCGTGCGAGTTCTATTCCAAAAGACCCTTCCCCAATCCCGTTTATAATTCTATAATAGCCCTTCTATGTACCCTTCTCTAAACCGTTTACAACTAGTCACTAAACTAGTCTTCTCTGTAAACCCCGTTTGTATCAACTTTAGTATTAACTTCTTTCTTTCAGGAACACGGCCAAAAAGGCTTCCCCACGTACTGGCGGGATTCAGACATGACCAGAAGATTTCCCCGTATGCTAAGCTGAACGCAGCAACCCATTCCTTGCGCAGGGACACGTTGTCATTTCGGGGCAACGTTGTGCCAGTAGCACTGGATTTCGCAGTGAATGGCGGTGCAATTACGCTTTCCGGAGGCAACGGACGCGCCGTGTCTGCTGAGAGGGTTGTCTGTTCGAGGCCAACACGGGGGCCAATATGTTGGATTTCACGCGCTTTCCGGAGGACGTGGACACGCTGCATCCAGCGAGGGGGGTTTCCACTTCGAGCAATGAGTCGCGCTCCTGCATCCGTTCCCCGTCAAAACAGATTATTGATTGGGAGAGAACGTCACAAAAACTTCGCATGCAGCCATCAGTCAAGCATGACTCCGTCCCTTTGAAACCACCTGCATGGAAAACAGCTTCGCAACAATTTCGGGAATAAGCTTCAAAAGAGCGGATATAAGTCATAGAGCAGCTAGAAATTTGGGTTCTAGCTCTGCGTCGTATTTGGGACGTGCACGTGGTGTTCCAGCAGTCTCGCATTGACAATGCCAGGAGCAGCTGCAAGCGCAAGCAAGAGTTCTTGACTCGGACACGCTGCTCGGGGAAGCGGGGTTTGTAGCTCGAACGAGCAGCGGCTTAGGTGGCAATCATGCAGCTGCAGAGCCAAGATCCTGAATACGACGCAGGCAAGCATAATTCCTAGAGAAGCTTTGCCCAGCATCTGTTTGCAATGGGGAACGCAACCAAGGCACTCATGTTGCTTGATCTTCACGTCTGTTGGCTGCCAGGCCCCCTGCCTGCTCCAGCACAGGCACACGAGTCGGAAGCAGGATGCTTTGCCTTTGTCTTTGAATGCCTGTCAGCATAAGCTCGATCGTCCAGGCCGCTCCCAAGCCACCGCCGGATCCGGTCATCATGCAAGGCTTGTCCAGGCCTGTGAGTGTCACTGTGCACATATATACTTGCGTTTGTTGAGGCGAAATCATGTCCTTAGTCCAGAAGTTTGGCCTGGACGAAAGGAGAGTCTTATGTGCTCGCTGCGATGGTGATCGAAAATCGCGCGTGACGATGCGGTGGATGCCGGCGTATCATGGCACATGCAAGACAGGATACGTGTTCGACTTGTTGACGCGCTCACACGTCGAGCAATTGCCTCAGCATGGAAGCCTAGTCTATTCAGCATCAGCATATGGCAGTGTCGTGCCTGAGGCTGCGACGTTCTGGGAGGTGCCGGCTTGGGATTCTGAGTCTTATGTTGCGGCATGTTGCGGCTGGAGTTGTAGAGCGCAGTTCGCTCATCTTCATCCGTCAAAGAATTGCTTCGTTGCTGTGCATGCTTGAGACATTACTCGGTTGGGGCACGCACGGCAGGATATTCAGAGCCTGCGAGAGGCTTTGTCGCCAGCAACCTACATTTGAGCAGCAGCCCATACGGTCGATGTTCGTTCGTCGCAAGAGCGCAGGACTGCACGAAATCCTCCGGGATTGTTGTCCGTGAAGCTCACTGAGATGGAGCAAGGACGTGTCTTGTTTGCCAATGGCAGCTTGCAGCACCAACCTTTGGTCTTGATCTGTAGGTTGGCAACACGGCCACAAACTTGTGTATTAATCTTGGGCCACCGCAGCTGCACTACTTACTCGTACCTCTTCTTGCACTGATCGGTCGCTGAAGCCAGTGAAAAGTACATAAAGATGGTGGGTTCTGGCCATGCTCATGCAGGTCTGCACAGCTCTTTTCGGAGCCGGGGGTTGTTGCCATTGGGGCATATTGGGGCCAGTGCAGCGATCCTACGGCCCTATACAACCTCGAGCAACCCCAAACCTGCTAGGAAGGCTGAAAAGAATACGTCAGTCGTGCTTGTGCAAGCACCAACTAGCGAGACAGTTCGTTTAGGTGGACCCTCCTTGCCACTCTCCTTGCCTGTGAGCAACGACGCGGGCAAGGCGGGCGACGAGCTCGACATGTCATGTGGCTCACTTTGCTCCCAAGCTGGTGCAGTCAACAGAGATATGCGGCGATTTTCGACGGGGAGCATGCCATCGTCAGCAGCCCAGCGCTGTTCAGCACAGAAGGCCCAGGTGTTATGGCGGATGTTTACAAGAGTTAGGGCAGTTAGAGGCTCCTTTATGCGACACAGAGCACTGAAATCACGTCGCAAAGAGGCATTGCTAAGCTGAGCCAGCCAGTGCCTTCATACTTCCTACGAGCATCTGCTTGCCAAACTAGCATGGACCAATAATTCTAGCGTCAAGCCGGATGTATAGTATGCTTGTGCGGATACGCCGGCTACTGCCTTGTCAAGCTTTTGGCATGCCAGCCAAAAAGCTGGACAACTTCAGAAGTTGTTGGGGCTTCTGCTCGAGCGCACATTGCCACTGCCTTGCCGAAGTTGTTTACAGCCCACTCACACGCCTGCACGAGAGTTAAGGCCTTGTTTTCGAATAGACCTGCTCAGGGCTGTTGGGATCTCGCCTTCCCAGGGTTGTGAAATGCTTGGCCGCAACTCACAACATGGCGACTGCATTGTTCGCGGGACCTTGCACACCGACTGTCCAAGGTGGTGACAAGTGCAAGTTTTCGCACGGAAATCCGCCGCCCCCTGGTGGTCCACCGTCGAGCTTAATGGCCGTGACACGGCAGAATTTTGAGTCATGGAGGTTCAGCTCCTGCTGCATTGCTACAGAGTCTCAGCATTTATCTTTTCACGTGCTGCGGTGTCTGTCTGGCTGCATGCTAGCATTTTCTCAGCGCTGCGTTTCTCCTTCTCTGCCCTTCTTCGTGTTTACGTTTCGATTCTCGTTGTGAACACCCTATTAGAACAAAGTCCCAACTTCCTGCCAAGATTTTGCAATTTGTTTTTTGATGGGGACACTCGCCGATGTGCAGGCAGAGATTTCAAACTTTCGGTTCGTCTTCGTCGGTGAAGAATATGTCTGGTGCGTTTCCAGAAGGCACGTATGTGTTGACGATTTATTTCGCTCGTGTGGTCTATAGGCGAAAATCGAAATCAAGCCTGAAGGCATACGAATCTTACGGCTGCTATTCTAGGGTGCAGGCAAGAGAAGTCGTTTTACAGAGTGTATGTAATAATTGTGCCACACCTTTGGTTGACGACCTTCGTTTCTGGAACGTGGAGGTGTCCGTGACCTGCCGCGACGCACCCATCGATCAGAATGTTGTGTTGGGTTTTTCTTTCCAATTTCCAACAGCTGCTGCCAATAATTGGGCAACTGTTGCCCCATCTGTGCCTGTTAGTGCCGTGTTGTTCCCCCAACAGCAGTCGGGATGGCATGGTGCTAGTGCACATTGGAACAAAATCGTCAGTATGAGGATCAAGTTATTATAGATGAGAAGTGCTCAATCTCGCGGAAAACTATGAAGCCTATCGCTGCATCATCCACAAAGACTTGCAACGCGGATGGCTAAATGCGACTTGTAATTGCATGTGTTTGCCTGTGTGAAGACATTATAAACTGGAACTAGATATTGCCCAGCACAGCTTGTGGCACACCACATGTGTCGATCTGCGAACGAGCAACAGCCGAGCTGGATGCGGGTTTCAACACCGAGAGAAGTCATGAGCATTCTGTTGTGGGTCGAGCTAGGCAGTTAAGTAGCAGTCAAGTCAGCACCCTCCCCCCTCCCCTCCCCTCCCCT